GTGATGGGAAGTGGAGGGAAAATCTGCTGCTCATTTCTGTTGAATGCTGAAAAGCTAAATTTATTTGTGTCTGTTGGAGTAAATTAAATCCAGTTCTTCATTGGCTCAGTGCGGCTTTCTGAAACATCAACTATGTCAGTTCAGCCACTTTAACCATTCTTTGCCCAAAGTACTGACCAGCTAGAGATGCACAAATACCAAATAACACCACTTTAGCTGATATTTAAAAAAATATTTTAAAGATGTTTAAAGATCTTCTACTACTCTTTCTGGCAGAAAACTGATGAACTGATTCTCTAGTACCTGAGGGGCTTTATAGCTACTCACTCCTCTGCAATACAAATCATGGTAGAACATAACATGGTCTTTTGTTCAAGGCTAATGGATAGCACAAATCTGATCCAGATTTGGTACATATCCTTCATGCAGATAACGAAACAAAAAGGGACCCAAAACATCTTTTCTGATTTTGTGCTACTTCTCCTAGGATCATGAAAAGCAGACAGTTAACAAAATTCACGTCTTAAAAGAGTAGAGTACTATAAAACCACAATGTTTGGCAAATGCTTCTCTGTGCTGGAGCCAGAGTGTCGGCTGTTGTCCAGCTAACAGCACATTTGTTCCACCACCAGTGTTGTCAATATTATCTGTGTCAAATAACTCACATAAAGTTGATCGTGGATATTGGCACCATGCTTCAACAGAGTTTCCACTACTTTTGCATGCCCGTACTGACAAGCAGCTAGAAGAGCAGTACCTCCATCCTGTGAAAAAGCAAAGAATGTGTACAGTCAGGTGAGAGGGAAGGTGCTGGATTGAACATCATCATAAAAAAAAAAAACCCACACAAATTTTAAGGCTTTTCAGAATTCAGCTCACAGCACTTCAGTAGTGACTAGCTACTGAATCTGTTATAATTTTAGTACCAAGTCTTGCCACGCAAATCTTTAAACTTGGCTATGTCACTATCAATAGTTTTCTGCTGAGTTTTCTTCAGTGAGGGACAGGTATTAGGAAAATTCTGCTTTTTGTTGCTTGTATTCTGCCTTCCCATTAGAAGCTTTGCCCCTTCACAAACTCCTCCATGTCTCTTCCCTCTACAGTCAAATCTCCCAGCCCTGCCAAGCTCTTAAACCTACTGAAGGACAGCATGCCTTTCCCCTGCTCCAAAGCCTACTGATCATCTACTCCTCTTGGGCCAGAACCTCATGCTCTGCCGTGTCCTGCCTCTCACCTGTTGACTGTTGGCTTGAAGAAGAGTAGGGAGGATGTATTTTAAAGCATGCTAGCTGACTGTGGAAGTGTGAATCAGAACAAACCCATGACCATCACTGAAAGCCCCATTACTTCTCCTGAAGAAGTGACCCCTGCCGGTCCCAGGCAGTTATAGTTGCTGCACATCACCACTAAAGGGAGACCTAGGCACATGCATCAAATCCTGCTTTGTAGAGAGGATCCCTTGGGAGCTTTGTGAGAAGGGAAACACCTCAGTGTTGCTGGCGATTGACTCCAAGCCAGCTGAAACAAATGAGATGATGAATGTGGGTCATGCCATCTCAAGTGCACTGTGCCCCACTCAGAAATGACCATTACTTCTGCCACTCTTGTGGAAAGGAAGTTCTTCTGCCTAGGATGGTACCATGCTGTCATGACAGATGATGCACACCCAAATTTATCCACATCAGAGGTCTTCTTCTCTCTGTCCTTCCCTGCCTTCTCCCAGTCTTAAGCCCTTCCTCCACAAGATAAACTATCTCAAGTATTTCAGATAAATATTTTCTAGAACTAGTATTAATGTAGGCCAAAGACTGTGTTTTGCTTCAGCCTTGTTCCCTGAAACAGCCCCAAAGTTTTGTCTGAAATTTTCCACACAGACGGACATCCACAGTAGTTATGGCTTGAATGGCCAAATGGATATTTTATAACTTGAAGTGCAAATCAAATTAATTGATCTGTGATGCTATTTCACGCCTATAATAACCTCATGAAAATGCAAGTTCTGACATGACTGAACTAACCCACAGACAGACACTATAGTGACTCAAAAACTCATATTCACCCTTCCTCCCTACAACACTGAAAAGCAAGTAAGGCTCCAGCATCAGCACAAGTGTGAACCTTTTACTTGACAGTCTAAGAATTGCATATTAATTCTGCATTATTTCAGTAAATATAGTGTGTAATCACATCAGTGGAATTAAATTACTCTATAGCTACAATGAGTCATTAGACTTTCCTGTGAAATTAAACTACCTTAATTTAATAGGAACTGCTGGAACAAAACACAAAAGAAACCACAGTGGTTCCTGGATTGAAAAACACCTTATACACACTTAAAAGACAATGGGAAAAGCTAATAACTTTGTGAAACCTGTTTCCTGTCTCCAACGAGCTGACAGGCATTTTGCTTGAGCAGTAAGTTACCAGATCAAAGGGCTACAAACAAAAAGCAGAGACATTTCCAAAGACACTTTCTCTGAAGGAAAGGGAGAGAAAAAGATTAGTGAATTAAAAGAGAGAAACCATGCCAACCAAATTGGAGGTTCTCTGTGGAGAGGCAGGGCAGAATGGGCTATAGGAAGCTTAAAAATATTGAGGTTCCCCAAGTGGAGGGTAAATAGACATGCTCAGTTAGCTGCGTATGGGAATAGTTTGTTTATTGCTTTATGGGATGTTTTTTGTTTTCTAAAATTCTTGTGTTCTCAACAAGCTCGTGTTATTTTAAGAAGACTGTTTGCTAGCTAATATAGTTTCTGGAGGGAACCAAATGACCTGTTGCAAATTAAAAGCAGTCCTGCAAAGCTACCTGCAGTTAGCATAGCAGAGCTGATGCCCAAGACTCAGAGTACAACAGTGTGATCTCACTTTGAGCGATGTCACAGCTTGAGGTTTAAGAAGGGAGATGCTTCTCACAGAATATATCTAAGTGTCTTACAATCGAGATCCTGACCAAGTGTTTGGTTGAATCCAGTGGACAGTTGTAGACAGATTTTTTTTTTTTAACGACTAACTCATTTCATAGAATAGAATCATAGAATGTCTTAGGTTGGAAGAGACCATCCAACCTCTTTCCAAAATACACAATTTAATTCTTTCAGACTAGTGTGACCAAGTTACCTACATCACCCTGATCACAGTCCAGGGATCAGAAAAAACACTGGCTGGTCCCCAGTGTCAGGCATCCACCCTGAATCAAACATTTACTGAGTCAGAAAGAATTGAGTGACAACTCCTCAGCTCGAAGATTTGGTCCTTGATCATGAAGACAACTGGACTCTAATACCTGCTCTACTGAGTGTCTCCAACTTCATAAAGTTGAATATATTGAGCAGAAGAGACTGGGGTTCATCTGCACGCACTGGATGGGGGTACCACTGTGATAAACATAGAGAGGTCTTGTTGTAAGAAAGAGAAGTTGAGGCCAGGAATCTTTTCTGCTGACCATGCGGTAAGACAGCACTCAGTTAAATTAAGGAATTGCCAAACAGCGTGAAGGTCCATAGTTTCTTAGGAGGAGAAAAACTTCATCCCCCTCTCATCCCTATTGAGGTTCCATCTTGCATTCTTCTTACACTTTTTTCCAGCAAGCTTTAGTTGGAGACCCCAATGGTTTAGAGGCCATAGTGAAGGCAGATGAGTTATGAAAGAAAAAGAAGTAAATAACAGAGTTTTAACATCCCTTTCAGCCATGTGATTCCCTCTCTCCTCTTTGGCTTCAGCTGAGACCAGTAAAAAGCTGAAGCAGCAGCTTTGCTACTGGCAAGCCCCTTGGAAGCTCTGAGCAGGGCAGCAAATGGGAGCAGGGACATGTGAGCAGCCGCAGAGGCACTTGAAGGGGCACAGTGGGCAGGAGGCTGGTGGTGCAGCAGGGAGAAGGCACGTCACCGTGGCTTTATTTCTCGCTCATATTCTGTACCTTCTACTAATCCTTCACTTCTCTCAGCTACCTCTGCAATTCTTCTTCTGGAGCCACTTTTCTTTACCCCACGCAGTCTGTTCTCCTGGTGGCACATACAGCAGCTGCCAATCTCCCCTGTAAGCGTCTGGAGCAGCAGCAGCTGGTAAGACCACGCTCTATGGTGTAGACTGTCCTGTCAATTTGCCTACCTCTTCCTTTACCGGACTTGAAAGTAGCTTAGAATTATATGTTGTTTTTTCGTCTCTGAAATATGCTACAAGGGAGAAGAACTGATCTTCCGCCATCACTACCTGCTGAAAAATAGCCCCTACCACACTGTTCGACCTGCAGCATTGCTCAGGAAACAGGCCATCATGCAAAAACCCTTTTAAGAAGCCACATGCATATAGTATATCTCAGAGTAAGAAAAGAGAACATGTTTCAATTTATGATGCATAAATCTAGGGATGTCAGACTGTCTCTGTTTGATAGGATATGTTCAATTTGTTTTCTTATTTCAATTCCCTGTCTTTTATAACCGAAAGTCATTTGCAAATTCATTTTGCGGTGCCGTTTTAAAACAGCCAGGACCAGGCCTATCTTTTCCAGCTCTGCTCCCAGCTGAGTCCCGTAGTAGGGAAATGCCATATCTCTGATCTGAAAAGGTTTGTTTAGTCAATTATATTGTTTCTGGGGCTTGGGGTGGGGGGGGGCAACGCAGAGTGGAGGAACCTGTTGCCTTAGTCACCTGTTAACAGAATGGTGGTAGTCTGATGGAATAATTCCAAGCTACAAAAAAAAATTACTTAAACAGAAATTTGAACTGATACAACAACACACTAGAAAGCAATTGGAAGATGCATACTGTCAATGCAGTACATTCTCAATGGTGCCTCAGGTACACACTCCTCCACAAAACATAGTTGGAGCTTGTGTTGTCTTATGACCAGCTCAGCTGGAGCTGACATAAACCTGTGGCCTGGGGAGGAAGAGCAAATTGCAGCTTAAAAGATGGACTAAGTCAGGTCTGAATTCAGATGAGTCAAGCTGGAATATGGGAGCTGGGAGCAAAGTTTCAAGGTGAACAAAAACAGAGCCCAAACTCGCATTTGTCCAAAGATGGAAGCCATTAGGAGTGGTTGAATGCAAGAATATTTTCTTATCATTTAGATCTTTACTCCCTTTTATCTGCCCTAGTGACTCACATCAATATATTTTTCATGCTTCATAAAAGATCGTACATTGTCGTGAAGGATCAGACAACTTCAAGCCTGCTGTTCACCTTCTGAGACGAGTTTTGGGATGAAGAGTTTTGGTGAAAAATGCAGCTGTCCTGGACAGAATAAGGCACTCAGCCTTTGTCTTTCCTCCTTACCGAGTTTCCTGCATTCACCGCTTTCCCTCCCTCTGCAAAACCACTGCCCAGCTGCATACTGAGCTGCACTGAGTAACCCAGACTCTTCCTATGCCCAGGTCACCTTTGCTCCTTCAGCATGACTTCATGGGTTTTATAGGCCAGATGAATCAAAGGACGGTGTTAAGTTCACTCACCTAAGTGTACACAGCTGAATGCAAGAGATCCTTCTGAATCTTGTTAACTCTCACCTATACCCTGAAATAAAAGACTGAGAAGCAACCCTTAGGTTAATGTGCAGCTTCTCCCAGTAACTCTGTCCCACGTGAGATTACACAGCACTTTGAAATCCAGCTGTTTTAACACTGAAACCTCATTGCCAAGTTCCACAGCTGCATTCCATTTTGTGTTAAAGAGCCACGATTTCATTCATGTTTTTACATTTACTGATTGCTACTGTGGTCAGAGAGTTGCCTTCCACAAGCATAGCTCCCTGGGACATTGGAATCCTACTGTATGGGCATGTGTGAACTCTGGCCACAAAACCTCAGGATTTTTAGACGCTGGAGCATAAGGATTTGAGTCTCTGATGTCCCATCAATTCCCTTAGTATTTAAAATCTCTATTTCCAGGGACTCTGGAAAGCAGGTATGTAGAGGGAATCATTCAAATCACAAACTACAACATACTGAAAAGTTGGTTACTGTGGCATAAAGAACTATTTCCTCTTATTCAAACACATGACAATGGATCCCAGGGTAAGTGACTAGCAAATGTCCTCCCCAGATGATGGAAAAGTTCCAAAACGTCACCAGCATGTAAAGGGCAAGAGTATTTAATGAAAATATGTTGCTTTTTGTTCTATTTGCTGGAAGCAGAGGTTCTAGCACCGCCTTGGCCAAGGAAACTGAGTTGATGTACTGCTGTCAGTGATGAACTGCTGTTCCTAATGCTCTTCACCCTATGAGGGGTGATGAACCAGGTCCAGGCTCTGCCATCTGTTCTTCTGGCTGTACTAAGAAGAGTTTGAAAAAGGACCTGCCTTAACAGAGAAACAGAAGCTGTGAGGTGCATTTCATCTTGTCTTGGGAATTTAGTAACAGCTGAAGCCATTATACTCTTACGTATCCTATGGTAGGATGCATAAGACATCCCAGTGTAGAGAAAATTTAAGCCTATGCAAATGAAGTACATACACACCTAAAATGGGATCCTACCTAACATGTACAAAAAGACCCTTTGTTCTTGAATTGGTGGATGGCTTAAGAAGAAAGGCTGCTATCACTATCAAGGGACTGACCTTTGATCGACTTATGCCATTCAGTCTAAGTGGTAAAAGCTAGTCTCAAGTTAATATTTTCAAAATATGCTGCATTACTCACATTACTCAGAAATAATTTGAGTGAGGAAATCCTTTTATCATCTGACTGCTGCTATGTCATTTTTCATGTGAATAGGGAGAAAAAGCGCCTTAATTATCAGAATTATAAGCATGCAAAAATAGACCCATCAACTTACTTTATTCTTAAATTCAGTGGAGGCTCCAAATTCAAAGAGAAACTTCACAACATCGTTGTGGCCTTGCTGTGCAGCAAAGAATAGAGAAGTTGCACCTGACTGTAAAGAAAAAAATGAATTAAAAAAACCCAAACACACAACATAGTTCACTGAAGTATATACATTTCAAAACAAAAAGTATTGAGCACAATCAGTCGAGTATTATTTGAAAAATCACAATGATTTTGAGGACTCCAGAGGTTGTTAGCTGTTGTTTTCTTCCCATTGCGCTGAGAATCTGTCTAGCATCATGCATTTGAGTAAAATCTGAGTTTCACAAGAGGCTTTTGCACAAAGTTTCTAATATAGACCCCTTAGGATTCACTCACTTCTACCCAGCCACCAGACAGAGAAAGCAAGCCCAGAGTGAGAAAAGAACAGTCTTGCACAACAGAGGAATGGCCAGTTTGAAAACAATCCCTGTTCCACCTTCCACTACAACCTGAGACAAATAGGGTCATGGGATGGATTGGAATCAAGGTGTGGAAGGACCAGGGTGGTGGTTATTTAGTACAGGAGAACTCCACTTTGCTTGACTCTCCACTGAAAAACCGCGATTGCTGTTGGTGTAAGTCACTCTTGTCTCTTGCAGCAGCAGCTCCCCATCCAGCCAAGCAGCCTTTGAGCAACCACAGTCAGCCCTGCAACTCCTGCTTTCCCTTAATCTTAATGAGGAACTGAAACTCCATATTTTATACTAGTTGTGTAAAATACTGTCATTAATATGTGAATAAATCAGGACCAAAATCCAAATATGTAAGATTTTAATGGCTGGACAGGAGAAAGGAAGGTAAGGAATGAAGGTAAGGAAAAGGAAGGAAGGGGGGAGGGGAAGAGAAGGGGGAGAAGAGAGCAAGAAAGAGGGAAAAGAAAAGGGAAAGGAAAAGGAAGAGAGATAGCAAAAGGGAAATAGGCAAAGGGGAAAAGGGAAAGGAAAGAAGGGAAAGGGAAAAAGGAAAAGGAAAAAAAGATATGCGAGCTTTCTTGACTGTGGTCTTTCTCGTCCCATGTAGAAGGTGCAGGAAAGGAAAGCTACACAGGCAATTCACTCCAGTGCCTAAAGCTTTTACAATAGCATGTGGGCCCTTGAGATCATTTTGGAGCCCCCTCTCGCAGACACATTTATGGACTCTCACTTTCCCAAGCTTCACAACAACTTCAGAGTAGAAGCACTGGTTTGAGTATGTGGGTTTCATTTCAGAACAGAGTCCCTGGTTTTCAGGGCTTAAACTTCCTCTCTGCAAGAGAGTAATTTTGGAGGATTTCAGTGTTTCTCTTTTTGTTGGCTTGCTGAATCAAAATGTCCTGAGCAATACTCAAGAGCAGCTGTGTAAAACTGTCCTCAACTTTTCCTTTAGTTGCTGCTTTTCAAGCAATATTTACCTAAGGGAAGGGACACGTTTAAATACATGTTTTGTTCGAACAGGATCCCACTGAAAGACACTGACAATCATCATTAGAGCAAGTTTAGGCCAGTAGGTGCAAAGACATTTTTATCATCAAACATGGCATTGACTGACTCAGTAACTTGCAGACGTCAGTGTGAGATTAATGCTCTAGTTCCAGGTAACCAAGGGAAGTGAGAAACTTTGGCTTCTATTGTTAAAGCAACAAGCACACGGCTGTCTTGCACTGCCTGCTGCCACCCGATGTTGCTGCACGTTCTCCTTAAACTGCTCTTCTCTTAGGACCAGTAGGACTGTTGTTTTCCCAGAGCAATTCTGCTCTCTGCGTAGGCAGCACGGACCAGAGCGGCTGTAGGTGCTCTGTACGACCATGAGCAGAGCATGAGGAGAAGGCACTTTCCCAAAACCAGCCACTGACATCGCCCGTCCTGCAAGCAAGCGTGTTGTGATGCAAGAGATGCCTTGAATGCAAAGCAAAGATGCAGACAAGGGCACAGGTAGTTAAGCTGTGGGATTGTTAGAGATGGCTCAGATTAAGAAGCAGAAACTCCAAAGCATACCAAGTCAAACTAATCCCCAGGCTAGCAATGGCATCCACTCTGTTTTAATGACCAGACTCTACAAATCAAAAGGTAAAGCACTTCTCATTTATCCCATCCAGAGAGCTGTAAATTACTGTGCCAATAAATAAAATTGCAGATGCACAAACGTGGGGGCTTACATCTCAGATGTAACTGCCCCTTACCAACGAAGTTGGTGAAATTGCTGAAAATGTTTGATGAATTATTTATAAATGTACCTCTGGAATCTCATTTTCTGTTATAAACTCCAGACTCTGATTCTTTGATGCTCTCAGGAGAGAAGACCTGTGTATATATGCACTGCACAGCAAGTAACAAAGAAGCAATTGGCAAAAAGGGACAGACAACACCCTTTTACTATTTGTGATAAACCAATGGTTAGTTAATCAACCCCTGTTTGAATGCAGAATTTCTCCTACCTCTCTCTGCAGATTGATATCTGCTCCTTGTAACACCAACTCCCGTACACAGTCTATGTGGCCATAGTAAGATGCTACCATCAGAGCTGTTGTGCCAAGCTGGGAGTAAGGAAAAACAAGTCAGTACCTTCAACAGACACCTCCAGTAATGGATCAGGCTGTCTGGAAGAGACAGCACCTCTTCTGGAAGGCTGAAGGAAGCTTATGATTATTGAAAACTTGCATAATTTAAAACTATCAAGAATGCTTCGAAAATGAGTAATTAGCAAGTATTAAAGCTAAAATATTACGGATTTGCCTGCAGTGCTAAGGCCTGATCATTCAACAAATACGTACAAAATTGCTTCACCTTATAGTCCCAAAAGAAGTACAACAAGAATAAGAAGAATCTCTTTGGTTTATACACAGCATTTTTATCAGAGAATCCCAAAGATCTTTGCGTCATTTCCAGAAGAACAGCCCTAGACACAGGAGCTGAAAGACTTAGCTGAGTCACTTATTTCTGAGTCATAGTCAGGAGTAAGGTCCAGATAATTTGAATACTAATTCCCTATCCAGGTGATGAGAGCAAGCTCACTCTGTGACTCTTCACTTTCTATGAGAGAATTTTCCATACCAGAACTGTGCATTCAGGTTCCCTTAGTACACCACAGGGTCACTGATCAGTGAAACAAGCATGACTTAGGCACGATGTATGTGGTGTATGTACTACAGAGAAACCACACGCATAAGGATGAAACTCATCTTTCTAAAACATTCACACACACCACTTCAGTTTAAAGAGGGAATATGTGACGTTACAAAAAAGAAGCATGCAGCCTTAATTGTATGAAAATACTTTCGTCTAGAAAATGTGTATGCCTGATATATTACTAAGTCAGCATATTTTACAGTGCATTGTAAAAATTCTTGACCAAAGTCAGCCTTCTTTTGATAACAAATGAGCAGTAGTAGACCATATATCTTTATATTGATCTCTATCCTATTTACTTTATGCCCCCATCTGAATGTGCTTCCCTCCCTGTCAGAATCAGTCATAACATAAGCTCCAGAAGTACTGCAGGACAAATAGTTGCTTACAGGGCAAAAATGAAATGAAAATTAAAAGATAGGTTAAAGTCAACGGGCTTAGAAAATCTCCTGCACTTCGAAGGTATTCCAAGTGAGAGAAGCTGTGGAAGGTTCATGTTTCAGGCTGGAAGTGGCACTAATCCTGTATAACACAGGCATGACTCTCAGAAAGTCAGTTCCAATGCCAAACAAAAGGAACTGGGAACTTTTTAACTTTGGTTTTCCCCTGCCCTTTGACGTAGCTTAGTACAATTAAGTATTGCTCCATATGTTGTAGGCAGAATAGCAAGACATACCCGTTATCTGTGTTTTCAACCCATTTCTAATCTCAAAACTTATTTCAACTCATGCCAGTTACAGTAAGGAAATCCCCGCGAAATCTATCTGTCACGTGTCTGGGCTCCTTTTTGCTCAAGCCATTTCTAATCTCAAAACTTATTTCAACCCATGCCAATTACAGTAAGGAAATCCCCATGAAATCTGTCTGTCATGTGTCTGGGCTCCTTTTTGCTTGGCAATCTTACTGTGCCTTCCTGCTGGTGCCAAGTCCAGGAGATACTGGTCTTGAGGAGGAAGAAGTTAGGAAGCCAGCAGCTCTTCTAACTATGAGGAAGTCTGCTAGCTGACAGGTTATCGCTACCTGGGCTCAGTAGAGTCAGCTCTTCACTGCGATCTATTACTACAATGACATTTCCTTGCAAAGAGAAGCCCAAAGTGCTAGGATCTGTGTGTTTAATGTCAGCGCCACAAATAACTGTGTAAGACACATTTTTGAGTGGTGGCAAATTCCTGATGCCTTGCCACTGATGTAAATCATCCTGCTATTTTATCTTGAGTTTCCAACTTGCTTCCTGACAAGAGAAGGTTTTAAATCATCCCTAAGTGCCATAAGACTCTCAGATGTCTTGTGTTATGTCCCTGCCACACCCTTGGTGCAGTGGGCTGTGGAAAGCGATGTAAAATCAGTGCCGTGGCTGTAGGTGCATTGTGTGCATACGCTGTCTTTGCAGTCCACATCTACTCGCCCACTGTTCAGCAGCAGCTGGAGGAGAGCCAGGTTTCCTTTTCTTGCAGCCCAAAATGCAGCATTGGCGAGTGGTGTTTCTTTCTGGTGAGAAAAAAAGGAACAAACACAGAAATAAAACCCTCTGGAAGATGTATTGGACAAACACACACATAAAAATTCTGCATTCAAGCCAGGCATGTTTCAGCTCAGTGTGCTGTTCTTTCAAAACCAGAGCATGGAAGGGAAGATAATTTAATTTCTTCAGGCAATTAAAGACATCGGTCTCCCTGTGCTGCTTCATGTTGTTTCAGGTCTTCCCTTTGTTCACGGCAGCCTATGTCTCTTAGCTTGCTCTGTCATGAGAGACACCAATGCTAGTCCAGATCCCCAGGGAAACATCACAGAAAACAATGTGCTAACTGGTACCTGTATTGCCTGCTTCTACGGTGGGGCTGGGCACAGTCAGAGAGGATGAATCATCCTGCTGACATGTTCTGCTGCAGGACATCCTCCTGGGTTTCAGGTCAACTCTCTGTCATCTCCTTGTGTTCTGCATATAAAGGAATTCTTTTCCCATATAGGAAAAGTATTGCTCCTGCATCTCCCATACTGTTGGGTCTGCCTCCCTCCTGGAATTAACACCCTGTAACTACGGACACATTAAGTATCTCCTGGGAGGAACTAGGAAAAAAGAAAAGGCTTACATCTCGCTGTCTATAGACTTACGGATTCATTTACTAGGTATGCAAGGCAATATGTAAGGCAAATTTGGGAAACTCTTAAATCTAGATAACACAGGCTACTGTTAAAAGAAATTACAAGCAATGTAAATCCTTTGATGCTTTCTTACTCCTAAGAACAGTGCCACAGTGTGACCCCTCCTGGGTGGGAGCAAATTATCTCTGCCCAGCATAGGAAGAGAATAGCAGAAAAGGACACAAACTTTGTTCCCGGCCTCTTTCTCTGATTCATGCAAGCAGCTGCCAAAACGCTGCCCTGACAGGTAAGCGTGGAGGGGAAACAACACTGTGATAGCAGCAATGCTTAACCTAGAGCAGGTTCATGCAGCTTTTAATAAGGCCGAAACCCACCAACAGTTCAGTGAAGGATCACTTCACTGATAGCCGTCTTAAACCAAAACAGTGTCAAAAACACCCGGGGGCCTTGCTCTGCAGTGAATCCTGCCTTTGGGTTAACCTGAAGAAAGTACAGTGTGGATATAAAAGTCAATCATTCTGCTTCAGAAAGTGTAATATACACTTCTCCACGCCTAAATGTCAATGTGCACGTCTAATGTGGTAGCGAATCAGGACTGAATGGTTTTATGGGTCATACTTAAAATGCACACATAGAGCAGAGTTTAAATTGCTTCCTTCACTGACACACAGGCAATAAACCTTCCAGAAACCAGCAGACACAAGATCAATCCTGTGTGAATCTATCCCAGATCCATCACACAGCACTTTCCATGGGTTTAATTTTTAATATTCACAGGTTGGAAAATTGGCAGCTGTTTGAGATGAGAGAAATTTCAATCATTCAATAAATTATAATGTACTTCCTATAAATTGATAGCGATATTTCTGTACCAGCACACACAGGGACAGGAGTCTGAAAAATTTAGCAAGCACAGTAGGCTAAATTCTGATCTTTCTTCTACAGCTAACATATTTCCCCCTGGTGAATCGGTAGATAATGTCAGTCAAAGTAGAGCTAGCAGTTTATACCCTCCTTGCTGGCAAAGCAGTAGTGTGTTCCTATCTTTACCGTTACAACCACTAAAGTTTTATGTAAAAGCAAACAATTGACCTAAAAACACAGGGGCTCATGTTGCCCTTTTTGCTTTGATTTATTAGGCAGATTTATAGAACTGGTAGTTAGGAATATTGTCTTATTGTCTTTATTATTATGATACTCAGTGGAAAGCTATTGCAAAAGAATGATATTTAGACCTTACAGATTGGGAAATCAAATTGCTTACTTTTTATTCTCTCTCTCTGTCCCTTGAAGTTTTAGAAGGCTTTGGGGTATGACAATGTCTCCATATGGGGAAAGGTTTATTTCATTTAATATTATTTCATCCACCCAGGTTCTCACTATGAGGGCACAGCAGCAATGTGACTGTATTTTACTACACCTACCATGCAACAATGCCATTATCAATCATGTGGGCAGGAACCTGAATCCATATTCAGGAACTCTTCACCTGCTTTCATCAGTTTACACAAGGAGAGAACTAAGTTGCCATTGTTACCCTAGTCTGGAAGTAGAAGTCCAAAGTCTTTACCGTTATGAGTCATAAATTCCTACTTCTTTTTTCCTCCTGTAATTCCTGCAGTAGCTCTCCAGCAAAGCTACCCTCATACTTTGAATCAGACCCAAGGAATGGAAGAATTCTCCAGTGCATCAAGGACATGAAATCAGGTCTTTCCCAGTGGTGCTTTTGACCTAGTTTGGAATGATTTCCATGAGTACTTGTAGTTCCTCTCATGACCCTGCATTGTGGGGGATTCCTACTATAAAAGTAGAGTACACAGCACACTCGGACCACCAGCCGTGTAGTGATTAGATAAACAAAAAAAAAAGACAAACACAAATCTGAGTTATTTTACCTACTAAAATGAGTGGAATGTCTAAAATCATTCAGATGGTCTGGGCACCCCACAATGCCAGCCTTAAGGAGTACCGTGGATGCGTTCCTGTGTGGCTGCCCTAGGGGATCCTGCTCTGGCACGGGGCTGGACTAGATGATCTCTAGGTGTCCCTTCCAACCCCCTACATTCTATGATTCTGCTTTCAAACCAAAGATTTATACCTCTGTGCTCAATTGTTTTCAGGTGATATCAGTGATACTGATGTCACTGATAGGCAAAACATAAGGCACTACTTTGGGAGTAGTAATCTCAGTAACTGAATAATTTTTTAGCATCAAATGGGTTTTAAACTGTAGGATGTGACATAAGGCTTAACTGCCATTATTCAGTTATGAACTCAGCCCTGTCTCGTCAGATACTTCTTAGGGAGAAGTAAAGTTGAATTTCAATAATTTTCATATAATTCTTACTATAAAGCTAGTCTGCTCTTAAAGACTCCTTGAAGTAAACAATTGATCTTCTGCATTGACAGTCTGGGAACAGAACATAACAGATGTTTGAAAACATGATTAGCTAATAGCTTTGGTGAAAACAACATTTTTCATTATGTCGTTTGCTCCAGCATCAGCAACTTTCAGGGTACAATTTTCTCCACTTCATCAAGAATTTCTGAAGCATTATTTCAAACGCTGGATGTGCTATTCATTTCAATTGTTTACATGCTTTTGCAAGGGCCCAAAGATGAAAAGCTGGCATTATATTCATGCCATATTGACATCAAGCAAAAATACTTACTAAAAATATCCTAGAGGAAAATATATGTTGTATATGTTATAAATCTGACAAGACTATTTTTATGCAGAAATACAGAAAAAATAAAATGCGATATTCACAGAATAACAAAATGTTAGGGGTTGGAAGGGACCTCAAAAGATCATCTAGTCCAACCCTCCTATCCGTATGTGTCATCTTAGGTATATTGAGGGGTAAAACACCATTTAGATGCTGTGTCAGCAACTCCTGCTCCTTGCCCTACCTTTGACTTGCTCTTTGCAGAGAAGCAGCAGGTCACAGCAGGGTAACAGCTGAAGAAGAAGAGTGAAGCTCTTAAACAATGATCTTGAAAATGAAAGAAAATAGGCAATAGGCAAAGAGAAGAGAACACTAGCCCAACAGCTTGTTCCTTGAATTATCAAATGGAAAGGAGGAATTGAGTAAAAAGTTTAAGAAAAAGAACTGGAAATCAGGATCAAGCATGATCTTTAAGGTCCCTGCCAAACCAAATAATTCTATGATTCTATGATACAACGGAAAATGTTAGTGGGACTTGGGAGAGGACTTTATCAGATAACAGTACCACTTATGTGAAGGATCCTGATAAAAAGAAAGAAAGGTCATTCAAGATATAATTTTAAGTTTAGTTAGGCAAAAGCTGGTAGTAGAAGAGACGATATTCATGTGTATAAACAGTGAGACAGAAGGATAAATGCTACCTCATAGGTAATAGGATAGTAAGACGGAAAACATGAACAAAGAGTGGCAGAGAGAGCAGGAATCCTAGGTAAGTACACTGTCTTCCGAGAGAAAGGAAAAATGCCAAGCAAATAGGCATAGAGAAGAAAGAGAAAGTAGAGGGAGGTGAAGGCTGCAATTCTCCAGAGGGAGAATTAGCCTTGACCAGGAGTACTTGAAGGAATAGAAAGTGAGAAATATGGCACAGTAAAGGAACTGATAGGAGAGAACAGAAAAGAAAACCTGCAGGACAAGGTAAAAAACCGAGAAGGTCAAAAAAGGAGAAGGCACTAAGAAGCTGGCACCACCAGCAACATGGTGCTAGTATCCATTAGGGTGGATGACTGCGAGAAATGAAGGTGGGAGAAACTCAGAGACAGAATGGAGGGACAGAAGACACTAAGAAAATGCAAAAAAAACCCACAGGTGTGAGACCAATGCAGGACCAAAAATGGGATAAGCATAGAGATTTCACCCTCCAGTGCAAGGCTGAGCTGCACTGTGAGCAAAGGTACCCTGCTCCCTGCCACATCAGGGCTTTAACTGCAGGTGGGAACCACCTGCTGCACCACCATCGAACTGAGCGGTGCCACAGCAGCACCAGCATCCTGCGGGGGGAGGCACATTGACAGCAGTGAGAGGCAAGTACAGGGAGAAACCCATCAAATAGAGCATTGGAACAGAAGCAAGATGGGAAAGGGCTGGCACAGAGCTGGTGATCAATAAGAGAAAGGCAAGCACAGCATCCAGAAAGTGCATAGCCAAGGAGGTGCACATCCAGCACAAATATGATCTGTTACCATTAGTATACTGCTGCTTGCTTCCCTCTTTGCCAAGTGGTCTTATTAAACCCTCTCCTCAGGTTAAAAAACTTGTTTCTTTTGAAAATGACGGCTCTTGCATGGGTTTGGATGGAAAAAGTGCAAAAAGTGACAAGAATCACAGACAGAAAAGGGAAAAAAACAGCCTGGCTTCAGTGGCCACCACAGCCTGAAAGGAAGAGCACGGATGAACGCTGCCTCCGAACGATTACACAACCAGCACTAGCAGAGATGATTGGAAAAGTGAACAAGAGGCTCCTGACTGCACCAAACCCCAAAACGCTGAGCCCGGCCACCCTAGAGCCAGCACAAAGCTTCAGGGAGGCTCGCAGTTTATATAACACTAACCGCGCATCCTTTTGGGTATGCCAGCTGCGGAAAGTACCCGCTCCATCAGCTGCCACCGCAGCACCCCCGGGGCACCCCACAGCCCTCGAAGGACGCTTCTGTTTTCTTTCCTTCCACCCTCAAGCACCCCTCGTTTTTCCTAAAGAAAAGAAAAGAAAGAAATCCCTAAATTCGAGACTACAAGGGAGCGTTTCACGGGC